CCCCCTTCCCACGGCCACTCTGGAACAGAACAGAGGACACTTGGCGTTGTGTCCCGGGGCAAACAGATCTACTGCTGATGTTCCCCACCTCTGAAAGATGCGATGCAATATGTCCGATTTTATTTCCCTCTCGTGATCTAAGGGGAACCGTCTGCTCAAAGAATCTGCAATGACATTGCTGATGCCAGGTAAGTAAGATGCTGTTATGGTGACGTCGTTCCTTATGCACCAGTTCTAAAACTGCACTGCTTCAGCACAGAGGGAGTGTGATCTTGCGCCCTCTTGTCTGTTCACATAATACATCGTTGCCACGTTGTCTGTGAAAACCCTGATGGAGGCGTTCCATATGCATGGAAGAAAGTGCTTGCATGCAAGAAAGATGGCGCATAATTCTAGGAGATTGATGTGAAAACCCCTTTTTGTGGGGAAGCATTTGCCCTGAATGCGCTCGTTGTCCATGTGCGCACCCCAACAAATGAGTGAAGCATCCATTGTTATCAGCGCGGTGGGCTGTGGACAATGATATGGGACTCCTGGTTTGCATCCTCCAATGCAGGGAATCCCAGACGTGGGGCCACACCGTGACCGTTTTGTGAATGCTGTGCTTTTGTGGCATGTATACACTTGCTAACCAGTGTTGAAGGTCTCTGAAGTGAAGTCTGGCATGAGGGATGACAAAGGTGGTGGATGTCATGTGACCTAGGAGATGAAGGCAGGTATGGACGGATACAGTCGGAGCCTTGTCGAAGACCTTCACAAGTTCTTGTATCACGTGGAACCTAGAGGTAAGTATGCCCTTGCCATAAGGGAGTCGAGGACTGCCTCTATGAACTTTATATTTGTGTGGGAACGATGGTCGACTTTTGTTCGTTCACTATGAGACCAAGGGAATCGAACATTCGTCTGGTCATTGAAATCATCTGCACGGCCTCCCGATGTGTTGGCGCCTTGATCAGGCAATCATCCAGGTAAAGGAATATGAGTACCTGTCTGCAGCAGAGATGTGCAGCAACGACTGCTAGAGTCTTTGAGAAAACTCCGGGAGCTGCTGATGCCAGGCCGAACGGGAGGATGCGGTATTGGAAATGCTCCTTGTTTGTCACGAAGCGCAGGAACCGTCTGTGCGCTGGATGAACTGTGATGTGAAAAATAAGCATCCTGCAAGTCGAGGGCAGCAAACCAGTTGTTGTGGTTCAGAGATGGGATTATTGTCATAAGGGTTACCATTTTGAAATGGCGTTTTTGAAGGTAACGATTGAGCCGGCACAGATCAATTGAGTCAGGGCCACACCCCCGTCTTCTTTTGCGTCAGGAAGTAGTGTGAATAGAACCCTCTTCTTTTGAGGTCGTCTGGGACCTTCTCTATCATCCCGATGGCAAGTAGGCAATGGGCTTCTTGTTGCAAAAGGTCCTCATGAGAGGGGTCCCTGAAAAGGGACGGGGGTGGTTGGGTGGTAGGAGGAATGGAAGTAAAGGGGATAGTGAAGCCTGATCTTATCACTTCTAATACC